ACGTATGGGGACTTATATTCATATGTTAATAGATCCAAAGAAACAAAAGCACAGAGTTACATTTCCGAACAGTATTAGCCTAACAAACTAGGCATGGACCCTCCCACAGCTGGCACGCATCAGCAGCCAAACCCTACGCTTGGTTGCATTCATATAACCCCACCCAAATCAGCATACTGAAGTGAGAAACTGGTCCCCTGGAACAAACTTGCACTGTCTCGGCCTTGAGCTGTAAGAGCTGGCCAGAATATCTGTACATGAGCAAACACTACCATATATACGTTTTAAGATCAGTTCTATGTTGAACACTGCTAAACTAGCCATTATTCTGGGGCTCTGACAGATTAGTCACATAACGCTACAGAAGTACATCTACACCACAAAGCGCAAATACAGCAAACTTCATTTGCCTGTGCTCCAGGGAAATGCAAGGCCACGTGCACCCTCATGGGCGAATGATACCGCCAGTGCAGCACTGAGTCCATGCGGATGGTATGGGGTCTGTACCGATGGAACCTGCTTATTAGCCCTGCCCTGAGCAGTCACAGCTTCTGCTCAGGTACATAGCCCCGCTCAACATTATAACATTAGTTATAGCTGTGGCCAACATGTGACGGACAGGAATCCCGCATATCCCAGACATACTTTGTTCTGAGATTCTCAATTTCTAACCCTGTTTTCAGGGATGAAAAAGGCGCAGGGGGCGGGGAGGAGGAAGAGCCAAATTCCTAGCAGAACTTTGGAGCCAGCTTCCTCACTAAATATCATTCTGGCTTCACTATAATGCCTCCCACCACAAGAGTCTGGCTGCAAAGAATGCTGTCTCTCCAAAGCCCAAGAGCTTTACCCAGGATTTTTCCAATTGTATCTGTCATTCTGGATGACTGGTGAAATTGCTTGAACCCTCAAGATACTGCAGTGCTGCTAGAAAAGTCAGGACACTGGCTGAACTCAACCAGGAGGTGAATAATAGAGTTGGATAAAATTTACAGAGCAACTCTACCACAGACACGCATCAGCATCTGTTGCCTGAAGTGTGGGACATGCGCTATACTAATTTTACCTATCTTCACTTTCCATTTAGACAGCTTTTGGTAACAGCAGAACCCAGAGTTGACAAACATCCTGCATCCCAACTGCTCAGGCTCCCTATTCCTCTGAGCAATCAGAGAGGCTGCGGCAATGCCTAGGCAGGTACCAAATTTCATATTCCAGGTTGTCAATGTTCTTTCATTTCAGATTAAACACAGATGTATTTTAAACTCTCTTTCCTCAGTTCTGCAAATAACTGTGTTTGGAAGAAAGAAAATTATTCTCCTTCATTTGTTGTTACTTCAGTTTTAAGAAAAAAATTAGGAAAGACATAAAAATTAGCCAAAAAATCCAAACAGCAAAATGCAGCAACAATCCAGCAACAGCAAAATACACTGACTGCTGGTTTCACTAACCTTAGTTTTTACTACAGCTATTCAAGTAAATCCTTTCTCAATGGCTTATTGATTGCAAGTTTGATTATTCTCTTGAATTCTAACATGCGTAGACTTGATTTTACAATATCAATGGGAATACATAAAAGCCACACACTCTGCAGGATAAATGAATTAGTACGGTACCGTTATCTATTTACCAGCCACCAGCTGCACTCACACACACTTGCACTGCAGGTGGCCAGCAGCATTTAAAGCAGAAGAAAGCTTCATTTCTCTACTTGTAATCGTACTTCACAATCTAAACCACACACATTATTTAAATAATCTTTCAAAGAACGCTATGTCCCCAAAGAACAACGGAAAACCCAAAAAAAAAAAAAAAAAAAGGCTGGATAATTACACCTATGTCTGTGTTGAATATGAAAACACAAGTTTCATAACATTAATAGACATTTCCTGCCACCCTGGAGCTCAAGCTTGTGCAGCCCGCCAGTCGCCATAGGTGGCGCTCTCACACCATCTCCCACCGTCTTTGGGGCTTTGTCCCCAAAGAACAACGGAAAACCCACTGTTTCAACCACGGTTTATCTATAGCAAACACATTCATCACCCATTTTGAGGAAAGAGCAGCGGCAAAGACAGGTATCAGCACGTAGCCTTCCCCATTCCGAAACGCGCAATCTATGTATCTGTCACCAAACACGCCTGCCCGGCCCACTGGCCGCTCAGCTCAGGTGGGCCATCAGTTATCTCACACCCATCATGGGCAGCATTACACATAGCTAAAAGCCCCACAGGGTATGCGTTCCATAGCAAAAATAGTTTTGTGATCATGAAAAATAAGAGATTGAGCCATCATCAGTGGGATAGTGAAAAATAAAACTACAGGCTTTTGCAACTACAGTTAACTTGTAGAAGTTCCCGATTCCATCAGGCACCAGTTTGGCAACTGGTAATGTCGGTGGCTTTCTGCTTGTCGGCCTACTGTTTTTTTTCTGAAGGCTAGCATGAGGATAAGAACCCCAGAAAGCGGTCTCTGTCTGTCTGTCCCTTTTCAGGGAACATTATAAAGCCGTCAGCTCATTTGAATGAGCTCACATTTGAAAAAAGGGTGGGTTTTTCACTTTATTGATGCACTCTTCCACACAGGATTTTTTCAAAATCTACATCAAACAAGGAAAAACAAATGCTGAGAGGGCAGATTTAGGGCAATTTATCAAGGTCTGGGAAATAGCTTCCAGATGGATAGAGCTGTTTGGTGCTGGCTGGTGAGAAGGAAGCAAGGTATTGTTATTGAATTAGCATGAATCTCTGGTGGAGAACCGCGTGGTAGATAGAGTGCTCCTTTCATATGGTTTGCATTTGGACCTGTCAAATTTCATTTTTATTCAAAAACCTGTGGTAAAGACACACAGTTCTTTTTTGCTTATTAAATTTCCACCAATTCTCCCTGTACTGTTACCCAGTCAGTATTTTTAAACTGCGCTAAGTGCCATGCCCGGGTCTGTTTGCTCTTTGCCATGCTTGGGTGAGAGTTTGGTGTTTGCAAGCACACAAGTGGGTTTAGGTTTTACATTCACACACTGAATGTCACCTGAGAAAGTGTGAGAGAGAGGAGAAAACCTGGATGCTCTATGAGATGTTTAAACCGAGTCACTTCAAGAGTTTATCAAAACTTTTCTAAGTAAAACTATGCATACTGTGCTCTAATGTACACTAGAAAGTGATTGCTAATATAACTAGAGGATTATTCTTGATTATTCTTGTCAATAAATCCTCCCTTTGAAAACGCGTCCTCTAGCAGTATAAATGCATCTATACTAGTGCATTTGCTAATACAGAAATACTATATATATAAAAAAAGAAGAAATTAAGAGGGAAAAAAAGATGCACATAACAAACACATTTCTACTTTGAACTAACTGGGTATCTGTTCCACGATATGTGCCTTACAGTGTAAGACATCCACAAAGATTTATGCATTTTCCTGCTAGCTTTGAAAGCTTTTACTTTTCAAGTTATCCTAAGAGTCGTCTAGTCCCACCTGAAGAATTGAACCTAGTTTATGTTAAACGTCAAATTAAAATGACAGTTCTATTAACCTGAGGAGATAAACTGCCACAGTTTCCCTCATTTCAAAGACAAATCTATTGTTACCAAGTAGTTAGTTTCAGTTGAAGGAATTTTTGGCGATGTGGTCTTTTAAGATCCTAGAAAAGTTGCTGGTTGATATGCCAATGGGTGGAAGGATTTTTGATGAGAGGAAATTCCCAATGGCTTTTTCAATTATTTAGGAGAATTATTATTCTTGAGTATCAAGCAAGTATTTCACCACTGGGGGGAAACAGAAGAAATAAGCTTTGCATCTTCCCTTTTCCAGTGTTTCAGGGATCTACCAGAATTACTCTGTTACCATCTGGGATGTATCCTAGGCAAACAGAGTAGGGAAATGGTGAGATCATCAGAACCAGCTAATTCCTAAATCCTACCTGAAATGTAAGACATGGATACTTGCGCTTACTTCCCACACATATGTCTGGTTCTGTCTTTCTTATTTTTGTGTATAGTTCTTATTACTCTGTGTTTTATGAGCATCTGCTTCAACTGACCAAGACTCTGTAAGAAATATCCAACGAGGCAAATAAAATCCTGGTCTACAGGATGCAACCTACTTCTTTGGCCATAACATCCGATCCCCCACAGGCTGTGAACAGATCATATGCCTCATTTATTACTTATCCTGAATCTTTCAGCTACTGACTACTGAGCTAGGTTACCAGTTGTATCAACTCCGAACCAAGGCCTTGGTAGCCTTAAGCTCTCATGATGCGGTGTTAACAATGGGAGTTATATATCACAACCGAAGAAACTGCATTCCTCAATGACGTGATTTTCCAGCTTTCAAATGTTAAGAAACTGACAGTGTGCTCACAGCGCTTGGCATCTACTGGATTTCACATTTGCATATCACTCTATGGACATCAGTGCCCAGAAGTCAGAGACAGCTGAGCTACTGGTTGTGTCTAATCAGTAATCCCCGTTCTGCTAATCAGTCTGTGCGAGATGGATGTAAGCTAGCAAGTATCAACATTCTGTCACTGTGGACTAAACTGGCCCTTATTTCTCATCTGGACGGCCTCCCCTTTGGCCTGGCAGCCTATGAAATGGTTATCTTGTTGCTGGCAAGAGAAAAGAAATGAAAAGCAAGACAAAATCAACTTGTCATTTCATATGGATGTCTACATCACAGAATCAGAGAATGCCCAAGGTTGGAAGCGAGCTCTGGAGATCATCTAGTCCAACCACTCTGCTCAAAGCAGGGTCAACTAGAGCAAGTTGCTTAGGCTGATCTGTATAGTCACGGCACAGAGAGAAAGAAACGCCTTTCCTATTGCACAGGGTAAAATTTGTAGTGGGGTGCAGCTGAATGGTCACAGACAATCTGCTCGAGTCAGGGATCTTTTGAGCTCAGTTGCCTGTAAAATTGACTTCTCATGGTACAACAATTACGAAAACAGAAGGGAGGGGGAACACGTTATTGCTTTTCATTAAGTTCATTTGTAGTCATACCTTGAAGCCAAAAGGGCAAGTGCATTGATAAAACTCCACTGGATCATTGTTGCACGTCCCATTGTTCTTACATGGATTGGAGAGGCAGGGGTCACACTTGGACACAACACTGATATCTACTGGCTCTGGAAAGGCAAAACACAGTATATTAATAGAGAACTGGATTACAAAATTAATACTTCCCGTACTCACACATACATTTTTTCCTAATGCAGTATTCACTCTGCATTGGCACAAATGCACATGCTGTGGGTGCAACTTCACACACAGCATGGGATTTCCAGGGATTAGAGAGATTTTAAGTACTTAAATCAAGTGCTAGGCAAGTTTCAATGATGCTTACGTTCTCCTGGACATGCAAACATCAGCTCTGAAAAAACATGTTGAGGATCTCCAGAGAGCGGGCTTATATATATATGGCTTTCAGCAATTTTTCCTTCTCTCAGTGCTGGAAATTCTGCAATAACAACCCCTAGGGAACTATAACATGACATTTCTATGGCTGGTAACAAGAATGAAAGTGCAGATGCAACAGCAGAAATGAAAAACATACATAAGAAAGATTTAGTTAGAGGCTTATGGGAATATTTAGGTGCAAAGTGTTCTACCATCCTTAATTTTAACAGAGTTCAAAACTTATTTTCTTCCTGTTCTGCCCAGAAGAATAATTATCATCATTCAGCTATCTCGGCAAAATGCAACAAAGACAAATATACAAAGATGGAAATGTATGCAGGAAAATATACATGGCCATATTTAAATAATTTAATAAACCACATTTTTTAACACAACTCATCCAGAGAAGAAGTGATGCTTTTTGAAGAGCAGGAAAATTAACATAGACCAAAACAATAATAAGTACATTGGGGTACCAAGTCAATCAGTATTTTATTGTTGAGATTTTACAGAAAACCAATTTAGTCAGTTAAAGAAAAGGTGATTTTGAAAGGGCTAAATAACGAATATTACTGACTTAGCAGCTTTTACAAGTAAAAAATAAAACCTAACACTTTAAAAGGCCTTAAATTACATCAGTCAGTAAAGATCCTAAAATAATTTTATTCAATTTTTAAGGAAATACATTTTAAAATAAATTAAAATTGGCCCTGTGCTAGTCAGAAGTGGGAACAGAGATTCTGTTATTGCACAATAAACGATAAGAAAGAGGAAATTGTGAAACATCCTGAAAATGAAGAAAGGAACCTTATACTTGATGTTCAAGAGAAGGTGGAGCTGTAGAAGGTTACCAAAACTAGGGATGAAAAAATCCCTTCCAGTAAAGGATTTGCTTTGGACCATCCGGTATGAGATACAAACCTTTATTATTAACTTTGAATACCTGCACAGCACCAACAGGGGGTAGGAATATGACAGAAATGGGTACCAAGGAGTTTCAGCTGAAAAGGACCTGCAGTGTAAAGGCTATAGCCTGACCCTATACTGATGGTGGTGTTTATCAGCACCACTGACTGCAGAGTGCAACACGTAATAACGAGGACAAAATACACAAGAAGTAACAAATCAAAAAAATGAAATAAAAGACTGTTGTCATCCCCTTCTATCTTTGCATTTATGTCTAACTAAATGCCATACATGTTTTTAACTTGAAGTTAGGACAGCAAGAGGAAATAATGTCTGAATTTCTGGCACCAACGGGGTGGAATGCTATATATCTGAGCTACTTTTGTCTTGAAGGTAGAAGGTATGAAGAATACATGAAGGTAGCTCCTTGGAGAGCTCATAGACAGGCAGCAGTGCTGCTCTTCTAGATTTAGAGGTCACTATGCCAGAATTTGTTCTATTATTTATTTATTTCATAATACACACGCGTACATTTTCCATTTATTCCTATGGCACAGATCAAAGCTAATCAATGTAGGAACTAATACGAACAGTGTTAGTTCCTAGCAGTTAAGTAGTTCATTAGTTTGCCCTTGTGGATTTGATTTACAAATCCATATACCAAAATGCCCTCAGCCCAGCACATTCCTTTCCTCTACTGCATAACTAGGAGGGCAATTTAATAAAAAGCAGAGCTGAGTTTGCATGACTTGCACATTACATACTTTTATTCTCTTGGCTCTGCTGAGACATAACCTTCTGCTCAGTCACAGGCTAAAAACATAATTTTAACAAGAGTAAGTTAAACTCTACTTTTTAAATGTAAAAGTTACTGCAGGTCACAGAGGACATCTATGCACTACCTTTATCCAAGCATCTCAAAGTAGCAAGCTCAGCAGGGGCTGACGTCTGCAGCAATGACGCAGGCTTTTGGGGGAGCAGGGGCTGAGCCCACCCTGAGCTCCGTGCCAGCAGCACTTGGGCTCAGACTGAACCGACACAGGCAGAAGTACAGACATATCCTCTGTGTCACCCCACAGACAGTCTCGCCCTTCTGCTGAGAGGATCCTGTCACAGCTATAGCTCAGCCATGAGAGGTGCAGCTGCAGGACAAACCGAGGCCACACCGTAACCTGTCACAGGCCACGCATGTGGCTGCAGCCCAAGGGGAAACCCGCACTTGACATTGTAAAAAATCCCATTGCTTTACCATAAAAGAACATTACTGAAGTCCAGATAGAATAGCATGAGCCTTTGGATCTTAAACACGCAGATGGGAAATGGGTTCAGTTAATACTACCAGATCATGCCTTCTTTTTCAAAATACACGTATTGTGATGAGAAAAGGTGAATTTTGCTAGGGCCTGGAGTTCCTTGGAGTATACTGCCACTCACTCAGACCACCAACAGTTTCTGCTTGTCCAAAGACCACCTTGGAATCAACACTTTTTTCTCCTTTTCTATTCAGATAAAGCGAGCCATGGTGACAGTTGGGATAGTAGAATGCCCATCAGCTTTCTAGTGGACCAAACTAATATTTACATAAAAACCATACAGCTGGTTTTAATGGTCTGGCTCACAGGTTTACTTATCTCTTGCCCAAGAGTCGCTTCCTTAGTTTTGAGAGAAAGTAAGTGTAACTATTGATATATCACAGTTTCAGAATGAAGAAGTCATCTAACTTCTCTTTACGGATTAATTTTCGGACCCTGTAAATATGTAAATACGATCATTTTCTTTGTTTCACTTTGTGTGACCAAGTACATTATTTGGTACTTTTAGTATTTAGGGTATATTTCTACTTCACATTTGAGAGACTATTATACAGTCTGTAGATCTGTAATTATAGTCAGAGTTCTGATAGTTTTGAGACTGACATTTCAAAGTAATTAAATTATAAGGTTACAGTTATTAAAAGTATATTTGAAGGGAAATAAAATTTAGCTCAGGCTTGGGAATCTGTGTTCTAAACCCACCTCAACACCATCATTTGTTTGTTCAGCAGTTTAATCCCAGCCTCTATAAAATAGCGCTGCCGAGCAGTACGGTAAATGTGCATGGCACTCTGAGACAGAAAAACAGGCTTTATGCCCTCATTTCCATTTCTAACAGAAGCTACTGACGCATCTTTTCCACTATTAATACTGCTCCATCTTCACATACTTGCTGGTAACTTAAGTGACCCTCCAAACCTTTTTTTGCAATAAGATCATACAGGTATATGCTAATCTACATTCAGTAATAAGCTTCTTTATCCACGAAAAAGCGTGCTCCTTATCATTTGTCTAACTGCTCTCTAGTGCAGCATACTCCTATCACTGACTACCTCTAATCGTTAATAGCTGCACCTCAACCCTCTCCCGAATGAATGTATGCTGTATTCAGATATGAAACATTTTCCATAATCTACAGTTTCTGACACAGAGTTGATGAGGACAGTTTGCAGATCTTCAAATGAAAATGTACTTTTGGTAAATATTTGTTTCTGAGAAGAACTCTCAGTTTCTCAGTCTTCAAGTAAATGTACATAATAACAAGAGTGCTCTATATTTTTAAAATAACTCTTATTTTACTAAAGTTTTCTGGGGTAGGTACAATGCCAAAACCAATTTATTTGCTCAAATAAGTTCTAACAACACCGTATATGCTAACTTGCCATTATATAATGTGGTGTGAGCAACAGGAATACCAACTCTTCTGAGGTTTGCTGGTTTTCCTTCCAGGGGTGCAGTTAACTGCGCTTTGTGGAAGAACAGTCAAGAATGCAGCTTGAATGTAATGCGATGGTTCAGAAAACGAAAGCCAAACCCCACTGCCCCTCACACTCACTTTAAAACCAAACAGCTTCCAAGAGTATAAGCACTGCATATGAGGAAAAGCAAGAGGACAGAACAGAGAGCCTCCCAGTTTGCTCCTACCTTTGCACTGGAAGTGGTGAGTCGGTGTTGTGAGCAGCAGCCTGTCCACCATGGCGTCAGGCCCGCTGCAGCGGGCTATCCCTGGCTCTTTGTACCCTGCCTTCACCCACTCGGAAAGCCAGCGGAGGTTGCAGTCACAGTGCAAAGGGTTGGTACCTAGAGCCCTAGGGGTGTAAAACAATTAACAGCAGTTATTTTGGCTTGCAAGCAAAGATAATATCCCTGATCTCATTGAGGCACATTTTATTCCATGCCTTTTAATGCCTTTCTTTAAAATGTGGGAAAGATCTTCTGAGTATTCAGGAAGTCTTTTAGATTTATCTCCTCCAGTATTCCCACTCTCTTCCTTTCTTCCCATGATAAGTTAGGGAGGTTGTATAAATACCTAACAATGAATCGCTTTTTTCAAACAATAAATCACTTTTTCAAACAATTGTGCTTGAGCAATGTCGCCAGACATATTGCTTTCATCAAATTTATCACGGTGGTTTCTTTTAAGTCTTTGGCCTGCACAAACATATTCTAACAGTGAATTGTGTAATTTAGTTTGGATCTGACAACTCATGTTAATGTCTCCTCACTAGATGAAACATACACACAGAGGACACCCCTGTTTTCAAAACTGCAACCTGGTGTCTGCTAAGTTTATTTCTGGCTTTGAAAACACATTTGCTGTTTAACCCATCACTTGAGTTAGGTCATATGGTTGAAGTAGATGCACTCACATAGTGCAATTATAATTCACAGAACTTTTTCATTATTCATGGCAATCTATCCAAAAGAAAACAAACCTTTTAACCTTAGATTTAGATGCCTCTTGACTAATTTATACTATTTTTTCTCTTAAAGAAAGTGTCTTTTCAGGCAATCAGTCAATTACAAACACATTTCGGACTTCAGAAAAGTCAGTTTAAAAACAATTAATTTTTGAAAGTGTGAAGAAATGCATGTTGAAAGTCTGAATTTATTTTGCTGAAAGTAAATGTAAGGCTTTAGCTGTACAACACCTGAATTGCCAAGGGAAGAAAATTAACTAAATAAAGATTAGCATAGGGAAGAGATACTAAAGAACCAGTAATTCAAACTGGGTTTTAGACTACACTATTTCTGCATATGTTAAGCGCTATTTTTAAGATAGTATTTTAAACTTGAGCTTCTTTCAAATATAAACATATCAGACAGGATATTAAGATAGAAACCTCAGTAAATTTGTTGATACGTTTCTATTGGAGTGACTAATGAACCCACTGTGCCCTAGACAGATTCATAATGAGAGTTCATAGGTTCAAACCCTGTCTAGGGCTCATTCATCAAAATTAAATGTGTACTGCAGCACAGTATTAAAAAATATCCATCTATTCCTTCTGTAAATCCACTGCTTACAATGGAAAAAAACTACTGGGTTGACTTTTTGACCCTGTAACTGCGATCAACTGGCTCACTTGTCCAAGGTCAAGCAAAATGCAGCAGTGAAAGCTGGACCGAGAAATTAACTTTAGCATTGAGCAACTGCCATATATAAAATGGGAGTGGGAGGACAACAGAAAGCTAGTTACCGTGTTAATTAATCTTCATAAACTACATTAGAAATAAAGCTGCTCTATAGACACTAGGAAAGATTACCAGTAACATCATTGTACAGCTGCAGAAATTACCACATGTATCTTTCCATTTTTTTGTTTGAGATTTTTTCCTCTTTTTTTTTTTTTTTCTTAATTTCCAGGAATTATAATGAATTCTTGTATTTTCATTCATGAGCTCTAACATTCTCTATTTCTTTACCCATTATAGCAAAACATTTCCAGAAGGTAAAAATATCTTGTGCTGTAATGAAATACCACCAGCAGCATTTTCAAAATGTTGTGCAGATATTTCTGTTCAGGCAGTCTTGGTTTTTTTTGAGGCAACTTACAACAAAGTCAATGAAAATAACACTAGACATGATAATGTGGAGAAACAGGGGAGGGGACAGCTTATTTTTATAGGTAACTAACATAAATTTGAGTAAAGATGAGATGATTCAACAGGATTAGAATCTGAGCTGTTTACTGAAAATATGCGCGACAGAAATGCCTGCTGTACACAGCATCCATTACCAAGGGTTTCTCTGGGGAGTCCCTGGAGTGCCGCGGGGTCACTTTATATGTGGGCAGTATTTAGGAAACTGAATCAGTTACAGAATTGTGTGTATTGGTGAATGGTGAGGACAGCAAATGCAGGAATTGACCTAACTGAGAAGATTTGGGGTTCTTTATTAATATATGTATTAATATATAAATATAATATATAAATATATAAATATATAATAAAGTATTAATATATGTGATCCTTCAGTAGTGCTGTAACATTTTTATCATTGCCCTGGACTAAATAAGTTTGTAGAGGCATGGATTAAATAGACCATGATATGCTTCAAGCAAATAAAGGAATAAACAGTAAACAAAACCAGTGTGTGTATACCATATACAAACCTTCCTCTGCCTTTAGTGAGATATTTGAGCCACAGTTTGTTATAACAGTTACATTACAACAATATGATGTTTACATTGTAAAGGAAATTTGGTGAACATTTTCTTGCAGACTTTAAACAGCTATGGAAAAAGTGATTGAAGTGTCTAGATCTCAGTTTTATTCTTCCAATTACAAACCAATTTAAAGCTATTACAAAAGACTCTGACTAAAATCAAGTCTTTTCGATGCTACACAAATACTTCTTTGCAATTCTAAAGGTTAATTTGACCCCCTCCCTCTTCCTCCCCCCAAAACCGCACTGATGCAGAAGGTCCAGGCTGACCATCCTGCTCAACACCTTGGCAGTCAGCTTTCTCCAGCCACAATACCAATCCTACTCTTGGCCACACAGCTTGTAAATTTAACGTAAGATTTTGTTCTCCGTGCATTATGAGTTTGATGAGTAGCAACCCCTTGTATCATTTTCAAAATTATTCCAAGTGCATGCTTTCTCTTTGAAGATCTACATATCAGAAAGAGCTCAACAGGAATTTATTTTCAATTATGTATGACTTCGTTTGAGTAAGCACAGCTTTTTCTGACATGTGAAGAGCAAAATCATTGTGGTTGCTAAAAGTTTCAGAATCCGCTTGAAGAAATTGGAGAGCACAATTACACTGTAAAATTCAATTGTTCAACTGTGCAAATTACACCCCAGACAGGTCTTATTTATTTTATGGATCCTATTTATTACTCTTCATTTGAGCTTTGTGTATTTTACATTTCTGGCAGCACATATATCTAAACAGATAGACTGCAGTGATTGTATTGGGCCAAAGAGTTTTTTATCACTCCCTAAGGTGAACGGTTTACCCAGGAAAATTGTATCTGCGCTTCATTTAAAGTAAACCCTGAGGAAAATCCAAACAAATGGGGCATGATATGTTTATCTCTTGAGTTCTAAAAATACCCTCAGAAGCCAGATTCCCACTAGGGAAGGTGTCCCTGCACTTCCAAAAGGAGATACAGGACTTCAGCTTAGTCAGACTTTCATTCCAAAACAACATATAAAATGACCTGACAACAGTGGGAACACAATGAAGAAATACATTTTGTGCAAACTAAATATTTTCTCTGACTCAGATACCAAGGTATCAGCTTGAAACAGAGAAGGTTGTTTCTCAGTTGAAGTTGAAATTGCCTAACGTGATGTCTGTCCCTACCGATCTGAGATACCTTCATTTTTCACCTAGAGAGAAACTGAGACAGAAAGCTGCTACACAGAAATAAACAGTCGGAAGATGTATTTGTTTTCCAGAAATTACGTAAATATGAACTGAGCCTTGTGTTCAGGTACGTGTTCTGGAGGGCATGTTTAAGGTCACAAAGAGAGAAAGAGAGAGATAAAACCTATGTTAAATGCAGAGATATAAAACCTATGTTTGTATGTCTTGACGTGTGTATACATCAACATCAACTCACATGCACGAGGGCAGCATCAGAGCAGAAAATATCTGTACCAACTTGTGAAACTAGTCACTTCACAAAATGACCAAGACATACACAGCCCTCAGATTATTTGAAGACAGTAATCAAGAAACATGCTACACAAAATTACTTTTCCTTTACACCTATCACCTAATAATGCACAGTATCACATATTATCGCAGAGAAAAACATTTTTTGTTCACTCTTTTGGCACCAACTGTTACTTCAGGTTTAATTTGTAACAATTGCAGCTATTTGTCTTTACAGTTCTTTCATCAACTGAACTGCATTTAAAAATATCTCGGACCTCCACCAATACAATAATAATTTCCTGAAATATCTGAAACATCTAATAGTTTTTGCAAATTATGGAATGAAGTATTAATGCTGTGAAATGGCCAATTTCCATGAGATTAAATATATACGTCTGAAGTAGTGATTCATCAACAAGTTCATATAGTGACAACATTTCAGTATGCAAAACATATGACACTTATTAAGCAAAGAATTCACATTTGCTTAATATTTGCTCTTTGTGGGAGGTTTCCTGTCTCACTCTCAGGCCATAACACACTCTGCATTTCACACAGACGATGCTGAAAGAACGCCTTAAACACAAAGTCCACACAAGAGGAAACTGTCACATTTGCTCATTTGGTTTTCCTTAAGAAAATATTTTGGTAACTAATAACAACAGGTTCTAGTATTTTTTTATTTGAACAGATTCACTACGAATATCCAGAGCAGAATATGGAAAATGAGCAGGAAAACCAGAAAAGTTACACAATCTGAAATTTGTAATAATATGTACTGTTTTATAAATCTGAAACCATCAATCCAACAGATGAACCCAGACAAAAGTACTTACAAATGGGACAGGGACACCAGGTCGTTGAAAGAACCTTCAGGAACACTGGAAATATCATTTCCATGGAGTGTCCTAGAAGAGGGGAGAAGCAGGAAGGTATCAAACCACAGTATTTTATCTGCTCCCCACAAGTGAAGGAATTGGTGATTAAGGAGGATATTTAATTTTGTTTCTTTGAGAGTTCCTACGAGCTTCACAACTCACGAGCTTCCATGCATTATTACTTCTACTTCTAGATGTTGACATTTAAAATAATGATACAATCGTAACTGCTGGTGAATAATGTTTTAAATTAAAAAGGTGACAGACTATTTATGCTATTAAAAGTGTATTGATGACAAGCAGACCCTCACATACAGCCCTGTATGCTTTTATAGAATCCCATTAGCTGGAAACACAGAAAAAACAGAACAGCGGAAAATAGAAACTGTGAAAGTTAAATTAAATATTGACTTCAGAGACATCCTAGGAGAGAGCAAGGGTCCGTGAGGTCAAATATATCTGCACTTTCACATTCTAGTTTCCCATTCTTACAGTAGGAAATACCTCTGTGTGTGGTTTTTTTAAAATGCATTTGATAAATGCATTTATGCTACCAAGGAAAGTACTTGATATCAGTCGTTTTAGTGCATTATCCAGCCTGTGAAAGGGAACTACGATTTTTCTAGCAGGGTTTTCAGGATCCTTGCAAAAGCGTTCTCCACTGTTTCCAGGACAATTTAAGCAGCCACTTTATCTCTTTTCGAAGAAATACATTTACGTGTGTGTTACATAGACAAGCATAAATGGAAAGATTTTTCTTGCAGCTTGCAGAGCACAATACATGTATTCAAAGTGGCAGACACCAGAGTAAGAATCATTATTTGTGATTACTTTTGGTTTTCATTGCAATTGCAACTGAAGGCCCTGCTAAAAAGTAGGGCACCACCACTAGAGGTTGTGACAGTCAAACAGAGAGGAAGAACACTTCTTGCAGCACGGAGGCTGTGATCAGACAGGAAAACATGCAGCAACAAATGAGTGTGCGGGAGGGCACAGGATGCTGGGGTGACAACTACATAAAAACTGCCCAGAAAACGCACCAGAGAGGATACACAATCATGCCCGATTGTATTTTTATAAATAAATAAAATCAGCTATTCAGCTGCAGCATCCTCTCTATCACTAGATAATTATCTGGCAAAAAATAGCATAGAGAAAAATATTTATAGTTTATTCTAACTTTTCTAGTTTGCGTGTCACTGAATATCAGCTTACTACTTCACACAGTAACAGACAGAGAGAACTCATAAGGAACCAATAGGAGTCGATTCCACTGAACCTCACTAGTTGTTTCTTGAACAAAAGTTGGTAGGAAACTTGCAAAGGAAAAAGCCATCAATATTTTAAAATTATATTTTCTTTTGCACTTCTCCCCTGAGCCGGTTCAGTTATAGCAAACTGCTGTATTGTTTATGTCCTCTTTCCCAGGTCCAGGAATTACTGTCAGTGCTCCAGACGTGTGGCAGAGGAGGGTGGAAAACAGAAACCTGCTGCATGTCAGTTTTGTAGCAGCTCTTTCACTCAGGTCAATTCTTCTCTAATTTACCTGGTGATTTGTGGAACACAGCAATCACATCATTTTTTTTATTTTTGTGACTGTACAGATGCTTGAAATGGCACACATAGAGTTTGTTTAAAATAAACCAAACATTGGGCCCATGGAAATACACAATAGCCCCAGAGAAAAATAAAAACATCTCTTTTTGCATCATTTCTTCCATTTCTCCACCCTAACACCACTATAAGGTTCACTGGTATCTACACGATGCCTTATAACTCTTATGAATTCTACCTTTACAGACTGCCTTACACCAGCGTACAAACAGCAAGGAAAGCCAAACGTGCCAGGGAAGATACACCTTGTCCTGTCTCCCGTGAGCCTGGGCCCTGCCACGGGGCCGCGAGCTTTGTGAGCGTAAGCAATGTTACCATGATCACGTTTCACAGCTGCTCATTGCAGCTGCAGTTTCTATCTTACTGTACTGCAGTTTTTCCACAGAGCATGACACCACAAAAACTACAGCTGAGTTATCCTGCTGGCATCTCTCTCCAGTTCTTGACACCACTGTACCAGAAACCTCCCCTTCCAACATCCCCATTCTGAAATTTTCTTTTAAACATACCTACGTTTTGGCTATTAATAATAATACTAGGCATATATAAGGATGGCTCTCCAAGCAATTAATCCAAACAGGAACAGGAAGGATATGAGCTCCCACACAGTTACTCCAGATAAAGCCCTCACTAATTCTGTACAGAATGACCAACTGACTGAGACATACCCCACAGCTATTAAATAAGGAGTATTTCTGTTGGTATGAGGATGCAAGATCGGGTCTGGTCAACAACTTGTCATCAAACTGTTTCCTCCTTCAGTGAAATGAGCATATTTAAATAAGCAGACACTCATACTGAGCTTATATTCTGATCTTTTAAACTACTTAAAGATGTGCAAGACGATTCTCTGAACAGACAGGAAAACTGATATTTATTCATGTCACATCAGTCATGTTTATTCTGTGAAGGGGTGCATCTGAGTTCCTAGGTGTCTTGGAAACTTCTTCCAAGAGACGCCAAAGCATGACAAAGCCATTTATCTGTAAGAAGGTAAAACGATCAAAAATATAAAACTATTTGGAATGAATGGCTTAACTACATATCTCAAACATTGAGGTATATTTCATGGATGCAAACGCTGCATTTTAATGAAAAAAATCATGTCAGCAACATCATCACCCATGCAGATAAAACAAAGTAACAAATGCTAAAAAACTTAAAGCCCACAATAATAAATAGTGGCAAGAGAATTCAACAGTGCAATAAAATCTTTTTCCTCTTGGTTCAACAACAGGAACATATACTTATACCAAAAATCCTTATAAGCAAATGGTCAAATAAAATCTTAAACATTTGGACAGTTACAGCACACACGTCGATGTCTGTGTTTTCCCTCCAAAGCACAACTTGCAGATATCCTCTTGCCTAAATACTGATGAACAGCGGGGGTAAGAATTTAAGGTGATGGAGATCTCCTCTCACAGCACAGAGTAACAAAACATGTGAATTCTTGAAATAAAAAAATTTCTTTTACTTATAATCTCACTGACTAATTATTACTTGTCTTCAGGTAAGGAAATATTTTTTTTTTGGTTGGGTTTTCGTGGTTGTTTTTTCCTTTCTATTTTTTTACTAAGCATTCCCAAGTTCTGTCTCCGAGCCCATTGTCTCATAACATTAGGTTACTATAGACACAAAGGGGATGCTTTTTCAGTAAGCAACGATCTACCCTGTAAAGACAGAAATGTGGCTAAAAGCTTGGCTGAGCTTACAAAACCACATCCTACCAAGGGCAAACACCTACAATGAACCCCGAAGGATGCCAAATCCCACAGGAACCAGCGCAACTCAGATGTCAGAGAAGCGGGGAATCACAGTGTGACTGCTCAATGCTCATAAGAGCAGAGCCTTTTACAGATTTACTGGATCAGTACAAGTAGTCATTCTGCAATGAAAAAAAACCCCAACCCAAACAAAGCCAAATAATATTTCTGTTAGGTCAATTCAGTGCAGCATCCAACAATGAAACTATATTGACCAAATTGGTTCCAATGGTGCCTGAAGAGTATTTGTGGTAGCTTTATCATCACACATATTACTATGTTTGTGTCAGCTTTGAAATGGAGTAAATATCCATTGGTTTTCAGTAAAACTAGAATATCTCATATTAGTAGAATATTCTGTAGCTCAATTTATCTTTTTTTTTTCATAAATATAACACGGAAAATTTTTTAGTGATCTGAGGAAGTATTTTTATTTCTGGACTTTGCCTCTTAATTAAATCAGGACAAAATGTCAGAAATTATAACACTGTCACACAATAAAAATAATGTTTAAAATAATCAGTTCAAGTCTACCAGAGACTTCTAATATTTATAATCACTTTGTCTTAATCTCAGCTTTTTAAATCTGTTTACTGTTAGCTTCTAAAAAGACTAGCTTTGGACAAAAAAACAAAAAAACCCCCAAAACCCCCCAAAACCAAAACCAAAACAAAAACCAAACCCACAATTTTTCACTACAATAGCTTTGGTGCAAAACCCTACCAATATCAAGGTTTGCTTATTAAAAAAATATCTTAAGACTCTGTGTTGAAATTGCTCCCCAGCACACTTTGGCTGCTTGTTACGGAGAAGCCATGTGAAGACAGAAGATTAAAAGCCTGATTGCATAAACACTGATAAATATGCAGGCTTAAACATAAACATGTTGACTCTGCAATTTTCTCAATTGGGCTTGTGTAAGTGTAAGAGAGAGAGTACAGAACCAGATATCTGACAAAGATCAATTTCATCATACATCTAGGATTATTCCGATTTTCAAATACATATTTATTTACTATAGAGAGGCAAAAAGTAAAGAAAAGATAAGGAATTTGGAAGACACAGAAGCTTGTATGAGAAGGGTCTGCTACCTTCAAAAGCATGCAAAGCCAAAGGTAATAAAATCTCTATATTCTTTTTATTAAAAAAAAAATTGTGTAAATTGTTTTGCTGATGTCTTCTCTTTTACATTCCCCTGAGAATACGGATAATAAATAACTGACAATAACAGATTTCACACTGTCACTCAGAAGCCATTTTCTCTCTGGAGAATTGATTTTTAATAACAACATAGATGACATGTGGCAAAAGTTGTAGCTGATACCAGAGTTTTGTGGGCCATAATAAATCAAATCAATCTGGAGGCTTCCAAATGCATGGAGCAGAGGCAGAGATTTCCATTTAGGCTTCATTTCACTCGTGCTGCTCTGTGCAAGACAGGGAGGGCTTCTCCCTTGAAGGATGAAGATATTTTTTTCAATTTGATTAGCAGATCATTTAAAAAAAGCCAAAAGATAACAGTTGTTACTAAAATACTGCTCTTTGTTTCTGTCCATACGTGGCCTACAAGAACAGAATTGAAAAGACAAATTGTACCTACGAAAGAGTGAGGCATGGTATATCTACACTGCAATTCAGGGTAGAGAGTCCCAAACTCGCTTTAATCAAGCTAGCTTGCGTATCAGAAGCAGGCCAGAAGACAGCTCCATATGGAATAATTTATTTGGCTATGAAACAGAATATATTCCTCTGCGGCTGAATTTCAGGACTCATGTAACAGCTCAAATGTGACCATCCTAGTGCGCTAGAAATCAGAGTCCCAAGCCAAACTTAAAACAACAAATCCAAATCACGTACCTTTCTTGTTTTTAATAATGAAAACTGGGAATCTAAAGCTGTCTTGGAAGTTAGGAGGTTGAAACCCAGATATCTATTTTACCACTCAGCCAAAAAGCATTGCCTTATTGCTTCCACAGTTGCGGTACCGCCCATGTCGACATGGAGTCAGTGCACAGCAACCATTGCTCTTTAAATTCACAGGAACTTCTGCATCTGAATGACATCTAACTTTTTTTAAAAAATAGAAAATACTAATTAATTACTAACTAATTAAAATACTAATAAAGGACACATTCAACTCCTGTCCTGACCTTTTAGTGTTCAAAGTTCTTTCTCCTTCAGCATGCTGAATAACCTCATCACAGATAAGCTATTTAATTTATTTGTTTTCAGTTTATTGTGCAAGTAATGATGACCCACTTGTGTTGCTGGGCCGTGGGGAGGAAGGTGGATTCTCTACCTTGTCCCAACAGCTGCACACAGCATCATGTGTCCGCATAAACAACTAAGCAAACCCATTCTCAGGGTTTGTTTCTGATGGGGCAGGTGGGGAGTGAGAGACAGTAAATACGAGACTGAAGCAGGAGTCAGTCTAGCAGATGCCTAAGAAAAGTTGGGGGGGGCTGCTTGCGGCAAGGAACGGGCCCACAGCCCGCACTCCATGATGATATAAAGAAGATGACTTTTAGAAGAGACTTTGCTTAAGTTGTTCGATCCAGAAAGCTGCTGAATGCAGCTAGACTGAAAAGAAAGAGTGCAGAAAAGGATCTCCAAAGAAAGAAACCACACACGTGGACATCCCTCTGAGTATGCCACCAGTCAACACGAGGCGAAATCTTATTCACAACTTAAAGAGATTTGAGACAGGCATCTCAGCATTACCTGCGCCCAGCCACTGGCTTGACTTACTGTTTTAGTGTGGGGACTTCTAACTTCCCTTCAGATTGCATTCTTTTATGTAAAAATTTGCCTGAAGAAATCTAAATTAATAGACAATACTCTAAAAATGCACATTTTCAGTAAGGGCACTGCTGCTGAAGCATCCAATGGAAACCTACACTCTAAAATATGATCAAGTTTTTCCAGACAAAGAGAAAAATCCTTTCCTGTGGGGCACCCAAACATTGCTCAAGTAGAAGAGACAGACTCTAGGCAGTCTCTTGCAGGCCTGTTTTCATGACAGTTCTTGTCCCTGAACTATCAGAGGAAAGTCATTCATCCTGCAAATAGGTGACTGCTTCTTTTCAAAGTTTAGCATTCACCTGCTCTAGTCATTACCTGACATATTGCACCTAAGTACAAGTACATTGAAGCTAATTGTGTGAAAATATTTATGACTATTTATGATCAAGTGAAAGCCATCTGCTCATTAAAAACTTCCCTGCCATCAACAGCATTCTAATAAGCTGCAACTCAGCTGCATCGAAGAAGTGGTACTTACAGCACTCGAAGAGACCTGAGCCCATTGAACGCGTAGACTGGAATGCACCGAAGTCTATTGTAACTCAGGATGCTGGGAGAATGAGAGAATGGAGTTACAACACTGTATTTTCTTTGATTATTTCACTCCTAATTCAACGACAAAGAAGCATGGAATGCCACATGCTTAAGTAACAAAACAGATAACTAATTGTTCAACACCTAAGATGATGTCTGAAGAGCGATTAAAACTGTTATCAAAACTTTGGACTACTTACAGTGTTGATAACTGAGTCATGTTGCTGAAGGTGTAATTAGCCAATACACTTATGCTGTTGTTGCTCAAATCACTGAAGAAACACATAGAGAAAATATCATTTATAGGTATGAATTGAGAAATAAGACTTTTTAAAGATTACATAATAACTGCACAAAAAAAAAATAAAAAAATCAAAGCACACCCAGACTCCCCTAAAAAGCTTCAGACTCGGAAATAGTAAGACGTATTTCCAGCATGTAACACTCCAAAAAAAAAAATAATCAGGGAATATAAGCAAAAATTTTGAAGAAGGATAAATTAATAGATGATACAAGTGTGGGTGAATATTTACTGCACCGACTGGCTTCGCAATTTATTACAGGCATACCATTTCCATATGCTCTTCACATTGGCAGCTACTAGAACAAAATTTCATTTTTTCATTTTAAAAAAAATCTTTTAGGCTCAAACAGAACATTTTGTTTCGTTGTTGCTCTCCCTTGAAAAAAAAAAATTAGAGATGTTTCCAAATAAAACACTTTTAAAACAGAGGATTCCAGTTCACATTGATTTTGTCTGAAGTTGTTCTACCCATTTGACTGGAGTATCTACAGCTGATTCAAAGTGCATTTGGAATTTTCTGATAAACAGTTCAGCCAAGAAATTTCACTCCTGTGTATTTCAGGGAGCAATTTACCGAAAAAAAAAAGTCTAGTTGTGTCTCTAGCTGTATGACTGTTCATAGCAGAAACAGCCATGCAAATTTTCATTGCCTTCGCATTATAAATACTGCCTCACCTAGAACAAATTAATGCCGTCTCATCTGTTAATGACCTTTACAGCTTTGCACGGATAAATCTGTCAAGTGAAACTGTAGCAGCCTGTGTGAGAGTTTAGTCCTCTTGCAGAGGCTGGAAGCTCCTGCAGAGGAAAGGTCTCTGGTGCTCTCAGTCACCTCGCTCTTTCTCCACTCTTTATGAACACTTATTGGCAGCAGTGGCCACTGTGAAATTCTTTTCAAATTCAAATTACAGAAGGTTTTTGAGTTTGTGGGTCCCCCGTGTGTCCTGTCCCCCCCCAGTACTAATTACTTATGTTCCACCTACAACATAGTGCAGAAAGAGTCACGTAATTTCCTTGACATTGAAACCCCGTGTTTCTTACATCAGTGTCAGGTGTCTGAAGGCGGAGAGCCCCTTCGGCACAGCAGTCAGATGATTTCCTTCCAGGTATCTGAAAAAAGTCAGATTTGACAATTACACAAACATGTTAACAAGAACTCCTGTCACTCAATCTGCACCGCGAATGAGGAAAATATAGTCAGCCACTAAGGAAATTATTTTCGATGCACTGCTTTGAAACTGTAACAGTTTTTCCTTTATAAGCGAATTATCTGACATGCAAAGCATTACAGTAGCTTATTGGGTTGGTTTGTTTGGCTTTTTTTTAAGACTTGGAATCAAATAAAGGATCTCTGGCCTACAGCAAACAGAAATGACCATTTGGTTCTTCCATGACAGCAACTGAAGAAGGGGAGAAAAATTGTATGGCTTGTGCCCTGAACTTAAAAGTTACGATTAACAAGTTTCTGTAAGAACGCTGCGCGCTGACTGACCCTGTGAGGAAAGCTGCTGTCTTGTGCATGTAAGTTCCTTGCACAGCCAGAACTGGAGGAGGATCTGCACTTCCAAGTCTCTGTGTTGCAAAAAGTCTCACATCCCAGTGCAAACACAGACATCCACCAGTTTGATGCCACATTCATTACAGCAATTCCTACTACGGCATAAACATCCTCCTCACCTTTCCTTCCTTAAGTACGCTGGTACAGGAGGAAAACTTGGTACGAATCGAAGACCAAGTACCAAGTTCTCTTTGAATATAGGCTTCTCTTACAAGCACTGAGTGTATTTAATAAAACAGCTTGTGTTTCCAGGGTAGAACTTGTTTGAGACACCACTGAAAGTGTCGTTATTCAGAAACACGAACAGTAGGGCTAAAGCCTTTTGGGATAATCCTATGTCCTCATTTACCTGGAATATAGTGCCTGTATTTTGCAGTTTTCCTCCACTGAAGAAATATGAACATTCAGTAACCAAGGGAAAAAGCCCTGAACAAATATAATACTTTCCAAAAGTTCGCCCAGAAGAGCGCATGGGCAAACTCAAAAAGAACTCAAGACCCCATGGCTGACCTGTGGTAGCAACGGGATATGGGGCTTTTCCCTTTTATTACAAAATAATGGAGGCAGAGCTGGAGTTCTTTTCCTTAACCTTGGCTTTTGGGTTAAACTGCAACCCTGGAAGATACCGAGGTAATAAGGCTGCAATGGCAACTGACTGCTGTGGTGCCAAGACACCGTCGAGGTGATCCTCCAGACAGCTGCCAGGAGCCGTATCTACCTGGGAAACAAATCCAACCTTCTCAGAAAGTACTATGGAGGAGGAAGGCATTTCTCCCTCCACAGGTGAGGATAAAAGATGAAATTGTATTTCCCTTCCTTAGAAGATACTTTGGGGGATTTTGCCTAAGGTAGACATGGGGCAATGCAATTGATATGGTATGTTTTGAAAGACAATCAAGCGTAGCCAGGAAATGCAGCCCACAAACACCAGAACACTTAATGTGCTGCTTCTACTGCTGAAAATATAATCCGATAATCATGTTAAGAATTTTTATCCCGCTCATACAATTTCCTTTTCTTTGGCAACAGACCTCCCTATTTTGCATTTACTACAGATTATTACTGTGCTGTATGTTCCCTCTCTACTTTAACTGTAACAACACAGAGATAGCTGTGTAAACTAAACCCAAGAAAATTTTCCCACAAACTTTATTTTTACATCATTTAAAAATAAAATCTATAAACACTAACAGAATTTTTACATAATACATTTTATAACTGTCACATTTTAACCCCTTCACCCCTTCTATTTTAGTATAATGCCCTCTCACCGTTTTATGCTGCTTCAGCTGTCTTTTCAATTAAACTACTCCAATGAAACTGTCCCAGTCTTACAGTTATCCGCTCTGCCTGTGCATAGGATCCCATCAAGGCAGAGTTACCTTAGAGCATGCGGTGGAGCACGGATCCTAGCAGGATCCTACCTCCTGCTAGGATTAGGCTGGACAAGTGGGACTACAGGCTTTTGAATTTTTAACCAAAAGCCAACTCCTTCCCCAATGGAAAAAACCCCATTGAACTAATTAACCTCTCCATTCACAAAGACCACAAGCATCGAGTGACAGTGTTGCAGAGCAAACAGCCCTTGCAAAGCAGTGCCAGCTGCTCTGCTGCTGCAGATATCACAAACCAGAGTATGGATTAGTTATGCCACATTTACACCTCCCATGGATATTCATATTCAGCAAGTGTAAAGTCACTTGCTGTATTTTGACTAAATTTGGTATAAATTATTTTGAAAATGGAGTTCCTTGGAGAATTCACACCATAAATTGTTAGGTAGAAGATCCTCATATTAATAACCACATATGTTACTATTTAAACAGGGCAAATCATGTCTCATTTCGCCAGCCATGGGCTGCTATGGACGCAGCAAGCCGCTGGGAGACCGCGCCTTCTCTTTCATCCCAGAAAGTCACAAATCTTAAACCCACGCATGACGGTGGGCTAAGGTTCCAGTCTTTATTCCAAATGCAAAATCCAAAGGATTTCCAAAGGAAATCAAAAGCAGGTTATGTATTATGTATTTGGAAGCTTTATATGATTTTCCTTTAGGAAAGGAGCCTCAACTCTTGCAATGTGTTGAAATCTTCAGAAATATATTCTGAGGGTATTCTCTTGTGGATCCCAATATAAAACAGCCCACAATTTGAATGAACTGATGATGGCTGGCCAAGGCTTTCCCCTCCTGCTTTGCTTTCTGGTGCAATCAAAAGTCGAGGGTGCACAATTTAATCCCGTGCCTCATTACTCAGACTAACAAGGACATGCAGACCCTGGAGTTACACTCCTACAGAAGATCTGCTTTGAATAGCTTTGAATTTGTACTGCAAGCAATTTGACGGTTATAGAGATGTGCTAACAGAAAGCTGCAGTGCTTATACCAGTGGTATAATTTCTGAACACACACAATTTTACACTGTAAAACTACTGATAATATACTTTTCATGCACGTATAACAACAATTCACCACCGTTAAACCTTTCACCACATTACACAAAGAAAGGCAGTATTTTCTAATCAAAAAGCATTCATTCTGAAAGCACAATTAAGTGCAATGAATCTGAAATAACCAGAGCTTTTAGGACATAAGAGCACACCAAGAATCGGGAGGATCCAAGATGCAGCATTTGAAGAACCCAATTGCTGCAGGCGAGCTGCTGCCCAGCGCGGGGCAGGCCTCCCTCAGAGCAGGGAGGGGATGCCGGGGCAGCAGCTCTGCACCTTGCTGGGCTGAAGATGATATACGGGGGCTGCAAAAGGGCTGCTCATAGTGAATAAGTGAACTATTCCCGAGGGTGGAAGGGCAAGAGTGCAGTTACAGAACTGTGCATATTTTTGTATATGTGTATATAGATAAAAAAAACATGGATGGAGCTACAGACCCCCTGCCCAAACAAACCAAAACAAACCATAACAGAATGATGGGAGGATTGGCTTTTTAATTCTTCTCAATCCTTAGCCAAAGGAAGATGATGCACATGGCATCTGGTATGCAAAGAAATTCTGGCATGAATGAAAAAAACGTACGTCTAATTTTAACGCTCAGAGTCAAGATACTAATATACAGTCAGAGTCAAGAGTGGGTGTCAGCTGCCTTCGTACAGACACAATGACTAGTATCCAAAACAACCTCATTTGCTTCCTAAAGTCTCTAGACTCTGTAGTTTAAATATCAGATTGGAAATTGTTTTTTACCCCATGAACGCTGCTGAGAATCCTAAAGTCTCAATAATGACGTGTAACCAGCAAGCACTTACGAGAGCCAGAATTGAAAAAAAAAACCCAACCAAGACCGTGCTCATGTTCTTATAAAATGCTACCACCCACCTACCAGGAAAGGCTTCTAAAACATGACCGAGTGCTGGAGACAGGTACCTGTTGGGCCGGGACAACTGGCACTGCAGGGCACAGCCATGCCTCCCTCCACGCCTGCACCAACCACGCCGGCTCTCGGAGCCCAGTGCCTGCAGCAGCCCTGGGGCTCATCCAGCACCTTCCACACACACTAACATCGCATATAAAAAATTTAAAACTGTGCATAAAAGATGACAGCTGTTCTTTTTCCAACTAGTCTATTTTTATACTGAAACCACTTGGATTGGAGGTGATATAACCAGCACAAGGTGCCAAAGCATCATGTAACGATTTGAATCACTTGGAACCTTTTTTGTAGTGAAATGTCTCTTCAGCCATAAAGTCAAGCTCACAGCGGCAATCTGTGCTAAGAGAAGAAACTGGAGAGAGAAATCAGTTCTCAGGCAGTAATTGAAAAGGTACAAAGCTTTTCCTTTAATTTCTTTAAGTATTTCATATAGAATGTTACATTACAAAAAAGATGATACTTGACAATTTTATGCAGCTCTAAAATTAAGTTATAGTCTAAACTTTTAATGCAGATACCCAATATCCTAGAATTTTGAGGCAAGTTTCGTTTCCTAAAAACCGTGGGCTAGAAGAGAATTGGACTGTGAAAGATGAAACATCCGCAAAGCACGAATTTTAAGAGCTTCAATTACAGTCTCTTGAGAAGAAACAAAATTCAAGTATGGATCTAGGTACAAATCTGGATCTTGAATTTTCTTAAGTTTTGGCAAATTCGGACCCTGGATTTTGCTGCATTTGTATGTCAGACCACAACCTACAGGTTTGACACACAGAAAAATGACTGTGTTTAAGAGAAAAGTGAAGGCCCTAAAATTAAGTTTACCTCTATTAGTGCTAAAGTCACCTTTCTGATACGTACTCAAACTTCATCAGTCACTGAAACATTATTTGATAGCATTGATACTATTTACTTTTTCTAAGCTATCAGATTTGAAATGCAGATTTAAGTTCTCTATTTCAGCTGTAACTAAAATATCCGACAGAGCTACCTGTTCTCTCAATGGCAGGGTTTTCCTCTGCTGTGAATTAAGTGGGCTGTAAAATGTTTTATGACACAGGACCATGTAAGCCTACGCTTTGATCTAAATTGTTTCTCTCCTTTATTATCAAAGGAAAATTCACTGAAATCTGTGCTAAGAGTCAGTGTATAAAATAACGCAGATTGCCAGACTAGCAAAAGCATTTGCATTCTCAAGTAGATGATTTTCATCAGATATCTCACTTCAGAGTTATCCCTTTGATCAACAGCAATATAGGCTCAGTGAAAAACGGCACTAAATTGTTACAACGTTCTACCAGAACTAACTCCTTGGAGCGTATTCATTGCAACAAGTTGCATGGCCCAGGTACGAGCCACTATTTTAGTCACAAGTCCAGAGAAATCGTAAGTGCCTTGGAAGATGGAAAGGAGGGCTGAGATTGGTGGCAAACACCTCCAAGTAGATGTGGCAGCAAATACACAGGAAGCAATTGTCAAAATCATCTTGGCAACTGGAGGCTCAGCTGAAGAAAGGTGCCATGCTAAGGCAAACTAGAAGTGGGGAATAAAGTTCAGCGGGATCAACTCTGCTAGCAAGCAAGTCAGCCGCTTGTGAAAACTGCTGTGCCAAGTACTGAATGAGCTTGCAGGCTAAATGAACCTAACAGGCAGAACAAAAACACAAACAGCAGAGAGAAGGTTTGTGAGGAGAGAAAGAAAAATGGCAAAAGTAATGCAAATATTAATATGCATTAATATAAATGGAAAGGAAAACAATCACTAACAATGATATATGGATGTAGGTTTTCCTAACAGTCCCATCAGTGCTATCATACAGCTCAGTGTCATGACAACATTTGGAGTCTAGAGATGACATGATTAGTACATATTTATTCTAAAATACACCATGCTTATTATGTTACAGTTTATGCACATGCCGTCCGTCCACATAATTACCTCCAATGTTTTTCCCCAGTGCAAAATATTATTTGCTGGAGGTCCATAAAAGCAGCTGGATGCTGTCAGATAAGACTTTATTAGAAATAGACTATACTTTTGTGAAGAAAAAAATAAAAACCACAACAAAAACTAGTGTTCACACACTGAGGTAACATGTAAAAGGAAAAAGAGCATGGGAGGGGGGTGGCGTGGGGGGAGAAAAGGAAAGCCTAAAACACTAAGCAGCAGGAAGGCTAAGTTCCAAACCAGCTCATTGCATGAACATTTTACTTCTGAACATCTGGTCTAGAAAACTGAGTATGTTCAAAACACTCAAGGCTTCTCTTCAGAGCAAGCAAGCAGTGGGAAAAAATGTCAGCAGTATGGAAATACACAGCAAAGCAATTTGCAAGAAACAACACAATATTTCCCTATTCCCAGGAAGCTGAAAGAAGGCTTGCCCGTGATGATGGGGTTTTGTGAAGGAATCGCTGGGAAACAGAAATTTCTTGCATCATCATCCCTCTAAAAAAGCCAGGAAACTTAGCGATCTTTTTGACTCTATTCTAGGTGGAAGCCTCCCCCTGCCAAGGTAATCCCTCCTCCCAGGGGTGGTACAAACCAAACACAGGGATGCCTCCTGTCATTCCAAGCTCTAAATATCAAGGAGATAATGGTTTTCACATGCTTTGTTTATACACACATCTAAAACAGAAACTCAGGAAGAAAGTTGGAAGGAGTGAGCCAATGTCTCCGGTCCACCAGGTAATAAAACATTGCTGGTGATCTTTTTTGCTGAGCTTAGGTACAGTGAAATTTGACCCAGCAAAGGGTAACATTTTCCCTATGTGCCTGTGCAAGAGGTATGTTCATTTTTGCATATTGCTATTTAATACCAGTTACAATGAAAGAATTCCCGTTTTAAGACTATTTTAAGACCTCTAAAAGAATTTAAAAGAACTTCTGAGAAGGCTATATTCAGCCGTAACATACTGGTTTATCTAGATACACGGCAGTTCTATATCTTAAACCATTTTGTATAAAACCACACAGCAGTTTAATAAAAAGCACTGCAGCTAACATGCCTTGTAAATGAATACATCAATAATGGAGGTTTATAAATGTCAGACTGGTGCATTCATAAAAATTCCACTGAAATGCTCCCCTGCATCCCATCACCGTTAAGGCCTCCTGCAGGAGGGAGACGGGCGCTGCGATGACAAGAGGCTCTTTACGCCCTTGTCCTCAGTGACCGTGGTTTTGTGCGAGCGCCTGGTGGGAGCATGGAGAGCCCAGCACACTGCCCAGAGTCCTCTGAGATGGGGGCGTGGAAGGGGAGGAAGGCAGCGTGGGTTGTGGTAACACAGGGGAAGGGGTTTTAATCTATCTGAGCACCTGTGAGCGCTGTAGCAGCGGGAGAGGTGAAGGCATCCCTGCCCTGGAGACTGCCGTGGCTCTCTCTAGCCATGCAAAAGCTGTGATATCTTCTGCAGCACGTAACTTATGTGCTTTCCGTTTTCAGGTGCTAAACAGATATGCACTGCTACCACAGGAACAAAACCGCTTTAAGAAGATACTTCAGCCTTAGGACACAGTTCAAGGGATCCAGGACTGCCCTAGAGAAACAGGGGTATTTTGATGTGGGGAGTGTAAATAGATTGAACAGGATAAAGCTCTTTCACCCCGTGCCCAGAAAGCTTTTAGGCATTGTGAAGCTCTGTCAAGTTTTAGCAGCCCTCAAAATGAGGCAAGAGGTGGGGTTCCACAGGAGATGCTGTTTACCATAGCAGCAATGACAATTCTCAACCACAGAATAATAAAAATACTTAAGTTCACACTAGCAACTTGGGACCTATATGATATAGTCCCTTCTAGATTACAGGCAACATCTTTATCTCAATCTCGCAGCAGAAAAAAGGCAAGCAAGATTAATCTTTTTTATTTATTGATTTCATTCTTGTCACAGTTTCCATAAACATTGAATTTTTACCTTCAGTACCTGCAGCTCGTCTTTTGGCATAGATACAAATAAGGAGCCCAGATTATGTTGGTTGAGAGGAGTGTGAGATCAGGATTGAATTTTGAGACAGCTGGGACAGATTCAAGGTTATATTTGCAGAACATGAAATATTCAGAGCCAGCCAGTCCATGGCTGACTGTGTTCTGCTGACACATTTCTGGATGGAAAGCAGAAAGCCGAACTAGAGGCTTGCACAGCCAAAAGGCTCCTACTGAAGACGACAGTCACGTAAACTCCTATGAACTCAAACTGCTCAGTTCCAGGCTATTGCCTCATTTGCCAAAAAATAGCTTAAGAAATATAGCAGTTTTCAAGAATGTGAGATTAATTTCACGCTTTTTGTGAAAGTTATGTCGTCAGTGTATCAGATAGTATCAGTGAAACTCAATATGCAAAATTTAAACATAAAAATTCCTCAGTGTGGCAGTGGAAATCAAAGTAACATCTGTGATATCTTATAGTTGGCAAGTCATATTTGAACGCAATGAAACCTGAACAAGAACAGAGCAGAAACCACCTTGCAGACTTTCTATCACTGATGGCAACATATAAGGGAATACAGACCAGGACTTGGCTTTTAATTCAAACCACTATTAACCATGCCCTGGCTAACAGCGTTCCAAGGATGTATTCATTAATGCAAAATTTCCACGTTAATTTGAGTTACCACATACACTTTCAGTACACTCCTCATTCAGCAACGGGTCTTGTATTTGACTGCAACACTGGTAAAAACAGTGCAAACCCCGTTCTCCCACTGTGAAGGGAGTAGAGAGACGTGTATCTCATTCATCAGTTGCCTTGTTACTAAGTGGTAAAAATAATACTAGATACTAAAAAATAGCAGAACTGGATTTTAATTCAGTACAAAATTCACTGAACATCCCAACTAACTCAACCAATTACTTTGACACAGAGATGTTGATGAGATTGTAACAAGTTTCAGTAATGACTCACCTGGGATAGATTTGAATAAGGACTTAAAGGGGAAAAGCTTAGTATTTCCATTGCCAACTGTTTAAGCCAAGCAGTTCCACCAGTGTATTTTCTTTCCATGGAAAGAACCAAAATCCAGTACAAAGTCATAGCAAGGGCTACATGAAAAGACAACTAGAAAGATGGTTCTCAACTAGGATGAATTTACTTCACAATTTAAGCTAATTATGTGTTATTTTAGCCATTTCATGAGGTTTGGAGAAAAGAATTCATTGTTTGTTTCCACCACTGGCTTCCTTTTTCTTTTTTTAATCTCCTCAGAGGATAATTAGCTCACAGCTGCATAAGTCAGGAACATATTTTCATCATCCTTTCAAACTGCCTGTTGTGAGCTTACGCTTCTCAGAAGCACT